AACCATGAGGTCACATGTTTAAACTGCGAAAGTACACAAAACTAATAGTGTCATCTTACTTAAGAATATACAAAAATGAACTGTTTCGTTCAAATTTGAATTAGATCTACAGATCTACTTATCAAAACGTACGCTATGAAACGTACGCAATTTTCAAAGCCGAAACTAATACTTTGCTACTCACCACAAACTGTTTCTGCTTATCCGATGCATGGAATGCCAGATTTTTTAACTTTTTGTTTTTCAAGTAGGAAATGGAATAGCCCCGGTCACCCTCCAAGATTGCTTCTACTGTTAATTCACAATAAAATCAAAACGCGATTAGCGGAATGTTTTCTTATGAGTAATCACGAGTTTAAATCTATCTATCTATCTATCCATATACTACTGTAATATATTGAGAATTGTGAAGTCAAGGGAACTCACTCTTCTTGTATTAGTCTTATATTTATAATGTTGTTTTGGGTGATGTCCCTTGTTTATGTCTGGTGGCTTCCTGTTCCTGTTCCGTCATGATGGCTGAATAAAGACTAGTTAACAATCAACGTGGCTTATCGTCAGTGTATAATAATAGAAACAGCTCAATCTAACTCAACTACTAAACCTCAAGTTTGTTAACAAGTGTGTATATTTATTTGTTTGTTTGTTTGTTTATTTGTTTTGTTGATTGTCAGTTTGGTTACGAGAGAGAATCTGCACTATGTGTAGAGCTGTAAAATACGGATTTAGGTATAGAATAATGTTCTTTTTTACCAAACTGTTAATTACAAATGTATTTAAAGACATTCATTAATTTATTGATATATTCATTGGTAGATACACCACTTTAATTATAAAAGTTCAGAACAATGACTTTACTTATAGTGACGTCACATGATTTATTTACTTCTTATAACAATAACTGCGGCTTCCATCGAAGATTTTGTTGCCCATTTAAAAAGTTTAAAGCATTATAAAGCTAATTTTCTGTCGGCTACAGCTTTAACGATAGGTCCTTTTGTTAATTTTATTATAAATTTTCAACAGTTCTTTTAATTTGAGTATACAAAAAATTTCTCTATATCTACAGATAAGCTGTCGGACGAAAGGAAAGTCAATCCTAGATCTAAAATCTAGAATCTAGTTCAAAGCAAAATTAATTATTAAAAATAAAATCATATGAAGGGATAGTGTGGTCTGACCCATTCTCGGCCTGAATCTTTTTTTAACGATTAAAAACATGCTGCCTGAGACTTGGTGGAACACTGGGCAGGTGAAGTAGAGTTGGGTAGGTGTAGAGTTCACCTTTGACGTCAGCATATGAAATCAGTATTTTAAAAGACAAAAACATGTCTTAGTTGGCCGGACACTGGGCAGGTAGAATAGAGTTGAACTGTTTTTGTGACCTCAGCATATGAAGGGATAGTGTGGTCAGACCCATGCTCAGCCAAAATCGGTGTTTTTAAAAGACGAGAACGTCTTAGGTGTTACGTCTTTTTTAATGTGGGGACTGGTTTTTTGAGATAATAAGTGACAGTAGGGAGGGGAGGGGAAAGATAAAACTCATCAAATAAACATGACGCCATATATGGATGACCCTTGAAACACACGGTTATTCAAGAATAACGGGTAGTCAAGTTGAATATAGGACAGCGTTGCCTTATCCTCTCATGTAATATAACATTTCAATAGATACCACCTTTCACGGTACATAACCATCTCATTCTACACAAACAATAAACGTGTTCTAATTATTTTTTATACTTAAAATCTCCTCCTGTTAGAGAATAAAAACATTTTACCTATTCATTAGAAACAATTCATTGCAAAGCTTTATATTGTTAGAGGAGGCAAAACAAATCAGATAGACGAGTCTACTAATTAATTCATCTAGCCATTTTACACTAAGTACATTTTAAAAATGAAGACAGGCAAAAGCAGTTTCAAAATATATTTAGAAAACTTCCACGAGCACTGAAACATAATATAAACTAACTGTGAACGATCTTCTCGATCGCTTATGTTAATATGTTCACAATTAAAAGATTTTTCTTAGTTCAAGAGTCTGTTCTTCTATCTGTCTGTTTGAGATATATTAATTTTCTACCTTTCTTAATGTAGCGATTGCGTGGAAGCTGTTCCGATAAAGCAGTATAAGTGGAATGCTGACCATATAAAGCAATGCACATATATACTGACATCTTCAAAACAAATGAAAATCACATGGGACAAACCACAGTAATCAGTTTTCTACTTTTTAGAAAAAAAATGAGATTTAGTGTTTGAGATCCTTTGATGTTCCATTGTTGCGTTATTTTAAAATCATAAATGTTGAGGGGATCGAGGTGGTTTTACACTATTGTTGTATGTGATAGCTATAAACTTGCACTACATACAATTTCAAAAAGTGGAGTGGACATCTGTGCTTATCCTGTGTGTCTTTAAACAATTTACATGATTGAAGCATCAAGATAGAAACTCTAAGAGGTTTGAAAGAAGTTAATAATATTCCCATCAGGTCTTCTATCTAGAAGACGTGAATGTGAGGTCTACTAATAGACGTCAATGTCAGTAGGTTGTAGCCAAAGATTTTAGACTTCTTTTTGTTCAAGATTACTTAAACTGGCTTAAACAATTAATAGGGGTCGGACACAGGTTAAAGTATATTTTCTACATAATGCCTATTTCGTAATAGGGGGCGTTAGACGTGCTTTGGAGTGTGGGGGGGGGGGGGGGCTCCATCCGAGTTTTGTCAAGTTTGAGCTTAGGTGCAAGGTATGACTGCGACTATATTTGGAATAAATGTACAGTATCTACGTGTAGATCAAGGTTAAATCCGGTTAAAATGCCTATTCTGGATAAAATTCCATTTTCAATGACATTTTTCGTTTACGGTTAAATTTGAAGTAGAGTTGGTGATTTTGGTTTTTGTTTCGGTTTAGAGTAAAAGACATCTCTATTAACCTAGCGCCCGTTGTATTTCTCCCTCAACGGGCCATTTATCTCGTTTGTAAATAATTTTCTTTTACATTTAAGGCTACATTTCTGTTCATATTCAACAAGCCTGAATTGTCGCCTTTGTTTCACTTTTGTAATTGATTTGTACAGAAAACTCCGTAATCGATCTTCTGAAAGCTCCAAGTTATAGAAATTTATACTCAAAACGTTGTAGATAAATATTTTTTATGAAATTTAACTTTTTTTAACCACATGACCTAGTTCAGACATGGTTATTTACATTTCAGCGATAAAATCAAAGAAAACATTATTTTTTTTACTTTTTGTTGTTTATTTACCAAAAGCACTACGAAAGCCCGACAAAAACCACACAATAACGTTTTCATAACCATATTTATTTTATTAACACTGCTCACAAATACTTAATGGAACCTTCCTAACTTTACAGGCCGGGGTATATTGGCCAAAATAATCTTACATTTTTTTATACGCCGCCAATTAATCCAGTGGGAAAAAAATTAATGGATTCGAGACTAAATATGTAGATTTCCAATAATCAATTAAAAATGACAGCTGGCAACCAGCTATTAAAAAATTGATTAGTGTAATTTAGACCGATTAACCTGACGTTAAATATGTAATTTAGGAAATAAATTTTGTATCGTCACATGCTAAATGCTTCCCCAATCAATTATAATTAACTTAATTTAATAATAGTAGCTATTTGTTTTAACAAATTCTTTAATTGAGTTAAGCAATGGCAATTTAGATTAATTTGAACTACACCGATAGAGGACTTTTGTTTACTTAGCAACAGCGGTCGGCTCTTATTATTTAAACTTTAAGGTTGAGTCAGAATCAAGCTGTAGTCTGCTTCTGTATAAGAAACTTATTTTCAATGACTCTACTCCGGAAGAGCAAGTGAGTTTTATTTTACTTCTACATTAATTCGCACTAACCTTTGCAGATGAAGAGACAGACTTCACTTTGTCCCATCATCTAAGTGTTTTAAATCACAAACGTCCAGTGCCTCTACCAGAACAAATTATTGTCTCTCCAGTGGAGCCTTGGACAATGACCAGCTATTCCACAACCGTTGTTTATTTGCCGGTCCTATAAATCAATATTCGTTCTTTTCTAATAGACAGATTTCTTTCATAAATTTCAAACATTTCCAAAAAAGTGCATCCCGAATGACAACGAAAGAAATCTCTTTATTGGCCAGCATTTTTACCATTATATTTTTTAAACGTTTGTTATAATTTTCTCATTTTAGTGCATTCAAAGCAAGCTATAACACGGATTTTTATCATTTTTCCTCAGAGTGAGTTATCTGAAAATAAAAGTGAGATCAGTTTGACAGTGAGATCTTCATATTGACAGTAAGACCCTCGCACATTTTTTGCGATCTTCTGATGAATGGTGAATTCGTTCGCTTCAGAATATGAACCCAAACTGAACAATGCATCATGTTTAGATCATACTGTGGGGGCAACTTCCAGAGATTATCATCCCACACAAAAATCTCAACTCTAGACTTCGTGAGCAGGATAGACTGATAGCTACATCTTTATCGTCTCTTGCTTACATTCGTTTTACATTTTAAACACAAGTGCAAATTCTTCAAAGCATGATATTATTAAATTGCTTTGACAGTTAAGGAAATTAAATCAAGACTGTATCTTGATTGGAACAGCCAAGAAGTTATTATTTTAATCAACTGAAGTTTTAGATGCATTTTTTAAATGCTTCTGTGAATTCGTTTTCCATGCAGATCTAATTTCGTGCATCTTGCTTCGTTAATCTTACAACGATTGAGATTTACACGGGGCTACTGTAAAGATATTTTTATAGTCCCTGTAATATAAATTAGAACTTACAAAAATAAATTGATATTTTAATTTCGAAATAAACATTTAATAAATTTTTATTTTAAAAAATTATTTCCAGAACGGAAAATGTCGTTTTGTAGTGGTTCGAATTTTGTTGACTTGAATGATACTAACCAATACAATTTATGTATTTGTAATTCTACATCGCGAATACTGTCATTATCTACATCAATGGAATCCCAAAATCTTTTTACTGTCATGAAATGGTACATGCGAGTCATCATCAACCCAGTTATCGGAGTTTTTGGAATTTTTGGCAACGTTTTAAGCTGTGTAGTGCTCAAGAGAAGAGGGTTGCACAAATCCTCTGATATCCTTCTGTTCACTTTGTCTATTGTTGACACCCTTGTGTCTACAGTCACACTGGATACGGCTAGAATAGCGACACAGATTAAAACAAAATCTCCTTTGTGGAACAGAGTTCTTGACGTAGACTGCTCTTATACTTTGCCTGTGGAAATAATGTTGTACTTTAGCATAATAAGTGACGGCGTGTACGCATTTGCAACACAGACAAGTAGTGTGATTTGTGTTTACATAACTGTAGAACGATTGATCGCTATTTTCTACCCCTTAGAGTTTCGCCAAGTTGTTACCAGAAAACGTGTGTGGATAATTTTAGCAGGCACTACATTAACAACAGGAGTGTATGCTGTTAATGCTGTACGAAATCTTGTACCCGTTTTGAAGTATGATGCTAATAGAAAAATATGCTTTATGCATCTTGCAAGAATAAAAAACATAGTGGATGATATGATTGACAACATTTTTTACTATGCATGCAGCCTTGTTGCTATGATTATAGTTATAGCTGGTACAACGGCCATTGGTCTAAAATTAATTATCGTGAGAAAACGTCGCTTTAACATGACAGCATCAATTAAAATGACTAAATCATCTCTCAAAACTACTAAAACCCTAGTGGCTGTGTGTTTCCTATTTTCACTCACTCAAATCCAAAGGCTGCCCTATACTCTAGATATTGCAATGGATAGTAATATATCCAACATGTACTATCAGATAAATGAGACTCTGGATTTCTTAAACAGTTGCCTCAACTGGCTTGTCTACATCACACTGAACGACCATTTTAAAAACATGATGGTCGACATGTTGTGCTGTTTGGTTGTCAAGAAATAAATGTCCAGAGAATGTTGTGTAAAGTACTTTTTTCCTTCATCCTGTTAGTTAATACATGAAGATAAAGGATTGGTATATAATCAAGCAGTAGCTTTTCAATTTACGAGTATAACTATATATACTAGAACTTACCAATTAGTGTCGTGTAAAACCTTACCCTGCCAATGCGACTGTTTTCAAATTATTATGTTTTCAAGGAACGAGTACCCCAACCCCACCCCTCCCAACACTCGCCACAGCAAAGGAGAGGAATATTAACAATACTTTATTTTATAACTGAAACAACAGTAGGCACGAAGGACATTTTATTCGGATTGGCCGTTATTAATTTTAAAATAACAACGGCATTTGATAAAATAGCAATTAAATATTATAGATGCAGTAGTAAAATACCATTTTAAAATGCGGAACATAAAATTAGCATTTACATAGTTATAGAAGCAGAATTGAATGAGAATAGAATGGATAAATTAGAAATTTTGAGATAGCGCAGTTCAGGAGCTCATAAAAAAGTTGTTTTCTTAAGTTTTCTTTTGAAAATACTTTCAGTTGCACTTAGTTTTATTCTATTAGGGAGGTTATTCTACAAATTGGCACCAGAGTATGCGATGCTATGGGATGGGTAAACTAAGACGATGATTTAATTTTGTGTTGTTAGAAAATAAGTTTCTAAAGAAAGAAGGTACGGATTCGTGAAAAATGTATTTAGAGATATAACTTTAGAAAGGCCTATATTATTTCAGTATTTTGCAAGTTCACATAAAATCTCTAGTCGGTTTAGCTTTGTTGTTGGTATCTAAATCGAGTTGTTGTTTTTTTTTTACATAGCAGAACTAACTTAACAGTGTTATTTTGTTATTTGGGGCATAACTTTACAATGATTTCCAACTACAATTTGACTCGCTTTTTACAAGTTTTTATTTAACTCACTTCCTCGTCAGTCGTCAGTCTTAGATCGAGTCGCCGGAGCGAAATTGCAGGCACTTCTACTTGACAGATACGGTTCGTAGTTGGTACATGGGTCAAGACATAAAGACTATGCATCGTGACATTCAATTTGACTTAATTGGTCGCCTGATTAATTTTTTTATAAATTAATTATAAATTACTAAATATTAGTAAAGGTATCCAATGGGTACTAAAAAGACCCACACTTTTCTTTATATTAATTTAAATAGTAGTGTATAATTTATTTCTACTTTTTAGTGCATTATTACATAAAAGCTTGTTATTAAAACGTTTGTTTATGAATTATTTTTTTGCAAGCTTTTATTTAACTCACTGTCACTGTCTGTCGTCAGTCTGTCGTCAGTCTAGATCGAAACGCCCTAGCAAAATTACGGACACTTCTAACTGACAGATACGGTTCGTTGTTGGTACGTAGGTCAAGATATGAAGACAATGCAATATGACATTAAACTTGACTTAATTGGTTGCCTAATTAATTTTTCATGAATTAATTAAAATTGTGTCCAAATTAGTAGTCTCATCCAACTACTCCGCACTATTATACACGCGTCAGCACGTTCATTAAGTGCGCAACGGTTTTTAGTCATGCAACTCTATTGTAAATTTTAAAAATTTAAAGTACTGAAAAAAATTTATTAAAAACGTTTTAATAACAAGCTTTTATGTAATAATGGAGTAAAAAGTAGAAAATAAATTATACACTGCTATTTAAATAACTATATAAAAAAGCATGGGTCTCTTCCTAAATATTTGTAAAGGTTTCCAGTAGATACTAAAGTGACTCCCGCTTTTCTTCATAGTTATTTGAATAGTAGTGTATAATTTATTATCTACTTTTTAGTCCATTATTACATAAAAGCTTGTTATTTTAAAAAATGTATAAATTAATTTTTTTTAAACATTTTATCAGGATATTGAAATACAAAAACTCAGATTAATAAAATGCGTTTAAGAATAAGTACTAATAATTTGAATTAAATTGCACTTAGCATTGTTGCACAGCATGTAGATCTAAGTAATACTCGAGTGTTTACCCTAAAGGATAGAATTTAAAAAACCGTTTAACATGAAACTATTAAGTAACACTTTAAGAATGCACAAAGAAATGTCTGGTGTCCAATTTTAGTAGTGCACGCTGTATGTGTTGAAAAATATGAAAATTAAAATGATTTTTATAAATCATGCATGTATTATTTAGTTTTGTGTTTTTTGTGCATTTGTTTCATTTATTTTATCGTGATGCTTGCAAAATTTTTACTTATACACTAAATGTCAAGCAATAACTTAAAACACTGAATAAACTGTCAAAAAAGTTGTATTTATTCTTTGCTTTACCTCTCGGTAAACTTTTTTTATTGTCTACAGTTTTTACTACGACTTATAAGAGAATATATTAAAACGTCATCGTACGTCATCATTGGTAACTTTAAATCATTGTGTAGCCATCATATCATAACTGTTGTATTTTTATGTTAAAATGTATGCAACATCATATCTAAAAACATGTAGTCGTGTGGCGTAGTGTTAAAAAAATATATTTTTAAATCAAACGACAGTAAAATGCAGGGGTGGACTGGCCACAGGTAAAAAAAAACACCCAGTGGGGTTCCAAGTAAAGAAAACCCAGTGGGCCCCCAGATAAAAATCACCCGGTTGGCCCCACGAACATTGCTGTGCTAAGCATTTTAGTGGTTTGATTTTTTTTAATGGTCGTTTGCATTTCCTTCCAGCTGATCAACAATTTTTGATCTGGAAAAAATGCCCAATTAAAATTTTAATCTAGGGTTGGGGGCCCCTTTTAAAATTTCCCAGGCTTCTTTGACACAGCTCGTCTAGCCTATGCGAAATGACATGTTTATTTTATTTTTAACAACAAGTTGTAACCATAAAATATTCCATAGAGAAATATATGTTAATCTGTTTCTTAAATTTCAAAATAAAATCGTGTACTTAAAACACAAAAGAAACAAACGACATATAGGCCTAAGTAAAAGGTCTTTTGAGGAACAAAGAAGTAACTGAAAATAATTTTTTCGATTGATCCTCTTTAGGTCGATGAAAATACTTGGCGTGTTTAATTCAGCTTTTATTGACATTTTTATAAATATTTTGTTCCTTTAATTAATTAATCTGTAATATATAGTCATTTTTCAGTTTTCACTTTTGGTACAGAAACTTCGATTTATACTAAGGTGTAGAGAGCATTTCATAATTGAAATGATAGCCAAATTATAATTGTCGGTACATTGTAACGTAAAAAAAGTTTGATTTGTTGGACTTAATAACGAGCACAACTGCATGCATTTGACGGCTAAAACTATTTCAGTTTGCACTTTTCACATACAGATTCTTTAGAGCAGTCAGTTTAGCTAAGGGTCATAATCAGTTATGGATAATTATAATATCAAGCTGATAATCTTATTGCCCAGCTGATCCCACTTTCAATATGAGGTAGTGGCATAGTCTCCAGGGAGGGGTGGTTATGGGGTTAGACCCCCCACACACACCCAAGCACCCCCAAAATGACAACTGTTATATTACAGTTATTGTCGACGGTGGACTTCGCTAACACTTAGTGCTTGAACAACAAGCACTCAGGGTCGCAACCTTTAGAACAACAATGTATCCCATTGTGAAGGGAATTTCCTGGAACTGAACGTGGGTAGTTGCCTAGCATGCAGTGCGACCGGATGGGCATCTGACAGAAATCGGGGATGTGACCCACAATCTTTGACCCTGGTTGGGGTCGGATAGAAACTAAGTGAGCTAAATATAGAGCCAGAAACCTACGATAGACGGGTAAGAAAGATAGTCAAGAAAGTCTAGATAAAGAGTTAAACGACCGAATTTGTTTTTAGCGTAACGGTTTTTTATGTGTATTTTCTACTACTTTAAAAAAATGTGAGATTCATTTCATTGATGGCGGATGGAAAAAGAAAGTTGAAAACAACTTAATTAATTGATTTCTTAATAACAAGAAAAATAAAACTGAAAATGATAAAGATGGTAGTATTACTTTAAAAAGTAAATTACCCCAACAAAGTTTCATAAATCAGCATATTCACCTGTAAAAATTTTACAAAAGGAGTTCTAACAGATTATAAAAGAATGTATCTATTTGAAAATATCTGGCTTCGTTTTAGATTTCCAGCAAGAAACTTAAAATTTCTCAGTCTTCAAAATTTTGATTATCACACCCCCCCCCCCCCCCCAAGTTACAATCCTGGTTACGCTACTGTTATAATGCAACAATAGTCGTAGATACTGTGGAAAGATAAAGATGAAAGTTTAAAAAATTACAGTGAATGCCCCTTTGATTAATGTGTGACAGCCTTCCAACTCTGTCACGAACAACTAGTTCCAGCTGGTCAGAAACATTTCCAGAATTTTTTTCTTTGAAGCGTCATATGGAACTCTTCTAGCATTGAACCACGATGGGTCAATGCTGGCTGAGCATCTGGGGTTCCACTAGACTGAAAAAAAACAAAAAATTCAGAAAATTAAATAGAACCTAAAAATAGGATAGCTTTTACTCATCAATTACCTTATTTTACGTTACATCACATTTCGATATATTTATTGAAAAACAAAGAAATGGTTTTATAACAAAGAAAGCAATGAAATGTAGTTTTAAAATGTAGGCCTAAATATACAAACACCGCTACTAAAAAAACACGAATTTAACACATTGTAAATCTTTCACTACGGTAATTTGTTTTTCACAAACCAAAAGCTGCTGAACTATCTTTACAATAAACTTTTACTCCTTTTGTTGGTCTGTTGGTGGCAAATCTTGAAACGCAAATTTGACCCACTTCGTCTTCTTCGTTCTTAAATTTAGTGTTGGAACTGAAGAGAGTTCGAACTTGAGACTTCTCGGTTTAGCAACCATGAGCTTTACCACGCCGACTAACCCACTTCTAACGCAGCGAATTTTTGTTTTTGCTTTTTATATTTTTGTTCTTGCTTTTTATATGTATTCTCCTCCGAAGAATACTCAATACTACCTCATTTTTAATCTAATAAGATAATAAATTAGTCATCACAAATTAATGAGTTAATTAATAAGTTAGTACATTCAATAGCGAATTCTAGTGTAATGAACGGTCGTCAAAAAATGGCATTTCAGGTGTTCTGGTTATAGACATAATGTGTCTAGAAATAAATCACATGGGAAAGACTACCTGTGTAAATGAAGGGAGAATAATCACGTGATTTCAACTTGTGAAGATGTTGTACGATGGTAGAGTGGGTGACGTTGTTGTATGACGTTATTAATGGCCATCTGTTAACAACACTTCAAATTTGACAATGTTTGCATATCAAACCAGTCAGACAGTCTTCTTACTTTAGTATGTGTGTGACCTCTAAGAGGTTTCTCTAATACCTTAACGCTCGAGAGACTCGTGAGCTTATCATTCCCAGTGCCGGCAATATAGAACTTATCATACCTAACTGCCGCTGGTATCAAGTAAATTGATACTGCTCGGATATAATTACATATTTTTAAAAAGTACAATACCCGTCGAAGTAACATCTCGAAATAATGTTTAAAAGGTTTCAAAGAAATATAATAATATTGCCATTAACATTGAAGTGAAACAATTAAAATGGCAACCGGCTATTAACTTAGAATTAGACCACTTAGTTTGACATTGATTTTAGTCATTAAATAACTAAGTTACGAGCTGTTACATGCAAAACGTTTCTCATATTAATTATAAATAACAAATTGTAATAACAGCGACTTATCTTTTTCTTAAACTGTATAATTAAATTAATTACTGTCATTTTATGTTAACTTAAGTTTTAGAGATTGTTATACGTAACCTTTAATTTAGATGGCTATAATTTTAAATGAAAATTTTAACATATGTAGATAAATAGATTAATGTAAACTGTTATTAATCACGTTACATAAATTTGTTATAAAGTTATATCAGTTGATGTATTTGTGTGAATGTATGCTATACTGCGACACAAGAGCTGATAATCCTGCTAAACTGCGGTACTTTGATATACTAGACTGATAAGTTTACAAAACTGAGGAAAGTAGAGATACTAGACTGATAAAACTACAAAACTGAGGTACATAGAGATACTAGAAGGATAAGCCTACAAAACTGAAGTACTTATAGATACTAGACTGATAAGCTTATAGAACTAAGGTACGTCGAGCTACTAGAATGATAAGCCTACAAAATGAGGTATATAGATGCTCTAGGTTAGTTGGTGTTTAGGCCTTTATGCTAGAAACTCTAGAAACTCAACTTGGTGTCGATTAACTAGATCTTCTAATTTATGAAACTAGGTCTTCTACCTTATAGAAGTCCAAACTATGTCTTAGCGTATCAGCAAGGGACTATTTGTTCTTTATTACGGATGGACTTTTGATTACCAGATAGAACTGACCCATTGGTTCTAGTTAGGTTTTCTATCTTATAGAATTCCAAACTTGGTCTTTTACCTTATAGAAGTCTTAACTAGGTCAGCGCCTCAGCCAAGGACAACTTGATCTTTAGTCCGGTTGAAAGTTCGATGACCATATATAACTGAATATACGGTTTTCAACTAAAGACAAGTTCAGCATCTCACGACAAAGTGAATTTATTTTCTGGGTCCAGATAAAGCTCACTTAAACTTCTGGATCGTATGGCCGGGATTTGGTTTATATTTTTAAAGTTCATTATTACCATGTAAAAAGCATTTTGCTGTAATATAAATATAACATCTTCAAAGGTTTTTTCCTCAGTCAGATAGAACGAGAGACGATAGTGACAGTGAGGTCCTAAGCTTACCAGGCGAATCTTCAGTTTGACCGTGTTATCTTGACAGTGGGATACTTAGCTTCATACATCGTAATCACCGCTTCAGACTTAGATACCTAAAGCAATTACAAGTGTATTAGCTGCTCATAGAAAACGCAACATACATATTTTATTGACAGACTCTTCGAAGTAGAAGATACCGTTTCAGGATTTCGACCAAGACAAAATCTCTATTGTTAATTTTGTATTTCCTTTAATTAGTCTTTGTCTTTTAATTAGTATTTCTTTTGTAATTGGTGTTACATATTTGAGGACGCTTCAAAAACTTTGTCAACATTAGAAACTGCTCATTTTGATTAGATTATAATAAAACGTTTCTAATCAAACGTTTCAACGTTTTTAAAACAACCATTGTTAAAGAGTAGTTAAGTTTTAAAGGAGACCTCTTTTTAAAGAAGTTAAGAATTTATTAGACAATTTTATTGAATCAGAAAGTGGGTTTTTAGAAACCATATATCCTGTAGTCTATAATTTTGAAAAGTAAACATAAACAACGTCTCATATAGATTACTTACCCAAATATTTGTCAAAAAAAACTTTTTATTTCTAACCAGAAGCATGTCAGACAGTTCGAGATTTGCCGACTCTACTTTCACTTTGCCAAAGTATTTATCTTTGTGGAATTTTACAACTACAACACCATTTCTACATATCCCATCATCTGAACTACGTAGTATTTTCTTTGCCATGGAATGGTACCTAAGAGTCATCGTCAACCCAATTATTGGAGTTTTTGGAATCTTTGGCAACGTTTTAAGCTGTGTAGTGCTCAAGCGGAGAGGGTTGCACAAATCATCTGACATCCTTCTGTTCACTTTGTCTATTGTTGATACGCTAGTGTCTACAGTCACACTGGATATTGCAAGAATAGCGACACAGATTAAAACAAAATCTCCTTTGTGGAATAGAGTTCTTGACGTAGATTGCTCTTATACTTCGCCTGTGGGAATAATGTTGTATTTCAGCATTATAAGTGATGCTATGTACACATTTAGAATACAGACAAGTAGTGTGATTTGTGTTTACATAACAGTAGAACGATTTATCGCTATTTTCTACCCCTTAGAATTTCGTCAAATTGTTACCACAAAACGTGTTTGGATAATTTTAGCAGGCACTATGCTAACAATGGGAGTGTATGCTGTTAACGCAGTAAGAAATCTTGTACCCTTTTTAGAGTATGATGCTAATAGAAACGTATGCTTTATGCATCTTGCAAGAATACAAAACATGGTGGATGATATGATTGACAACATTGTTTACTATGCATGCAGCCTTGTTGCCATGATTATCGTCATAACTGGTATAACAGCTATTGGCTTAAAACTAATCATCGTGAGAAAACGTCGCTTCACCATGACAACATCAATTAAGCTGACCAAATCATCTCTCAAAACTACTAAAACCCTAGCGGCTGTGTGTTTCCTATTTTCACTCACACAAATTCAAAGGCTGCCCTATACTTTAGATATTGGAATGGATATTGAGATATCTGACATGTACTATCAGTTAAATGAGACTCTGGATTACTTAAATAGTGGCCTCAACTGGCTTGTCTACATCACACTGAACGACCAGTTTAAAAACATGATGGTCGAGATGTTGTGCTGTTTAATTACTAAAAAATAATTGTCCCGAGAATATTGAGTATGGTACTTTGTCCCCCTTCACCTTGTTAGTTGTTACAAGAAGATAACATTATTGGTATACAATCAAGCAATAGATTTTCATTGTACTAGTATAACACGATATACTAGTACTTACCAGTCTGTGTCGTATTTAACATTACTCAGCCATTGTGACTTCTATTATTTTTATGTTCGCTTTAATATTTACATAGTTATAGTATATTGTGGAATACAATGAGAAAAGAATAGACGAATAAGAAATTATGCAATAATTCAGTTGTTTTCTTTCGTTTTGTTTTGAATATATTTTCAATTACAGTTATAAATATTTTATTAGAACAGTTATTCTTGTTTGAATATATTTTTAAATTACAGTTATTAATATTTTACTAGAAAAGTTATTCTAGAAATTTGCTCCAGAGTAGGCGAAGCAATGTCTTTGAGGAAAAGATATATATGGGATGGTACTAAGATGACGATTTAATTGTGTGTTGTTATGTAACACATATGGTTACCAGCCAAAGGGGGATAAAAATATGAAGCTTTTATTCATTGGGTTGCGGCCCCTGTGGGACCGTAACTGAACTGTTGACGTTGTTTTTCTATGCTTTTCTGAGCGAAATTACCTGTGTTCCATGTCATGTGACATGGGATTGTGGGTAGTTTCATGCCTAGCCGTGTCGCACACGCAAGGCTGCTGTCTGTGGACCAAGATGTAGACCTAATGAAGGTAGTTATATAGATTATGTTTGTTAAAATACTTATTTGTGTATTCCTGCTAGTGCTGCATGTGCACACTAGTTAGGGTGAGTATTAATATAGGGCTACAGTTTTCTTTTGGTCTTTTGGTTTTGGTCTTTTGGATTCTTTTTTCTTGGCTAGTTTGTTTTGTACTACTGTGTTGCATCGCCGTCATGGCTCGATGCTGTAAATAAAGCGAGTACAGTGACAACAACTGTCGGTGTCGGTGTGTACTTAATCTTAGGGTCAGCCCGTCTTAACCACAACACCTCAGTGGGTAAAAGCATCCCCACTGAGTGAGGGTTACAGTTAGAAAATATGATAAGTAATAAACCGGGAGCGATCTCCCCTAAACTTTCTCGAATATTCGTATATAAAAAAACAGGGGATGGGAACTCGGGATATAGATATGAATTTTCATCCATTTAAAATACTTAAACTATTTAAAATAGAATAAAATCTCGTAGAAAAAAGAAGTGCACACCAGTGAACGCCAAATAAAATGTGCAAAATAGTGCGGAATATTATTAGTACTTTATAATTTACATTCGTTTTTTGATAAATCGAAAATAGCGTAAATTAGTACTTCCGGTCAACGGAAATTACTCAAAATTTAACAGAAGGTAGAGAATTAGATCTCTTGCTTACGTGTGAAATTTCATTTATCTATCTGAAATAGTACTCAAGTTATAGGCTTTGCTTCTTCTTCTTCTTCGTTCTTAGTTTTTAGTGTTGGGAGGGATCGAGCCTTATCTGCCAGAGGGTTTGAACTCGAGACTTTTTTTCGAATTTATGAACCATGAGCTTTGCCGACTCAACCATGCTTCCATCACAATTTAGGATTACGTGTCAACTGGTTATGCGCCAATGCGGCCATTGGATTTCAGCATGCTTTTCTTTTTGGATTCGCTTCCTTAGCCTTTGTCCAACCAAGAACAAACTACAAGGCAGCAGTTGTTTGATTTTGGAGTTGTCTCTCCTAGAAGAGTGGCTGTCCCCAGCTAACGAGCCTCATCTGCCCGAGGGTTCGAACTCGAGACTCTTCGGTTTAGCAACCATGAGCTTTACCGACTCGACCACGCCGACCCCTTATAGGCTTTTGAAAAATTCAAAGTAAAAAAAGTACCACTTCCGGTTATCGGAAATCGCTCAAAAGTTTATACGGATCTACGATGTTGATAAAAAAACTTATGAAATTTCATCAACCTAGCTGTAACGGTACTCAAGTTATCGTGTTTACAGACACACAGACACACAGACACACATATACACACATACACACATCATACGGACAATATTGCAAAATTATGTTTTTCCGTATCAGTGAGGTGTAAAACGTGGAGATTTGCAAAAATCTCGACTTTTTTTTTTTGCACGATTTCAAGACTTTCTCTATACTTCGTATATATGAGAAAGTAAAAAGGGACTTATCCGTGAAATTTTGTATAAAGAAATATAGCTTTAGAAATGCCTGTATTACTTTTTATCTATTGAGTTTAATATGACTTTTAATGAAGCAATCTAGAGTCGTCACCATTCACTTGGAAGTAAGGAAAAGCCTGTGGTACAGTGAATGTTGGTGAGAGTTGTTCGGTTGATATCCTGCTGCGTCTGTCTAGCAAAATTATATAAAAACTCTAGTCGGTTTAGCATAGTTGGCGGTATCTAAATCTATTTTAATTTTTTCATAGCTAAACTAACTTAACTGATAGTATTATTTTGTTGTTTTTATCAAGTTATTACTAACTTAGCAATGATTTTCTTCGACAATTGGACTCGCTTTTTAACATTATAGCAGGATATAGAGATACAAAAACTCACAAATGAAAATTGCTTTTAAGAATAAGCGGAAATCATTTGAGTTGAATTGCTCTTTGTATTGTTGTACAGCATGCAGATCTATCGAACACCACATTTTATATTCTAAATGACGTAATAACCGAAACAGTGTTAAACATGAAACTAACATGCAACACATTTAGAAAACTCAAAGAAATGTCTGTTGTCCAATTTTGGTGCTGCACGCTGTACATGTTTACAAAGATGAAATTTAAAATGTTATATTTAAATCCTCTATGTATTATATAGTATTGTGTTTTGTTTTTTGTGTGCATTTTTTTCATTTATTTTATTGTGATGCTTAAAAAAATTTCACTTAAATACTATTTATATAAATGTCAAGCAAGTCAAAGTGCAATTAATTAAAACACTGAATAAACTGTCAAACACGGTTGTATTTATTTCTTTATTTATTTTTGCTTTACTTTTATTATTAAATGATTGGGTCAAGAACTGACAATTTTAAATAATTTGAAGTCACAGACTCGGGAACCCTCTTGGTTAAACTTTTTTTTTATTCAGTGTTTCTTCCAGGCATCACTTCGGCATCCCCCTACCCCCGTAGAGAGTCTACCCCCCCCCCCCCCCCCCCCAACGACGAAATGGAATTTATATTGAAAATATAGTTTTGACAGTGTTTGATGATTCGTGCAACCCTCTCTGCTTGAGCACTACATAGCTTTGAAGGTTGCTAAAGATTTCAATAAAAATGCACAAAAGACGTTTTAATAACCAGCTTTTATATAACTAAAAATCAAATTTGAATAAAATAGTTCCTTTCTTTATATTCTAAAATCGGAAGATTCACATATAAAAAAATTGAAAAAAAAATCAATTTGAGTTATTGTGTCTCGACCGATACCACCCGCATGGTTTCTAGTACACTATCTCAGCTATTTAGGCACGTTATAATGAACGAAGAATGAAAGACGTACTGAATAAACTTAACTTACGCGAATAGGCCTATTCTTTCAAAAAAAAATTATCCCAAATTAGCCATAGGCAAACAAATATGTTCATAAAATAATTAATGCCTGAATTATTAAATATAAAAATGTATTATTGGAATAGATTCTAGAGTAGATAGAGTCTAAATCTAGAATCTAAATCTAGAATCTAGATCTAGCGTCTGCGTCTAGTTTTTGCGTAGATCTAGAATCTAGATCTAGTCTAGATCTAGATCTAGAATCCAAATAAAGTAAATTTTATAAGTTTAGGCCGAGAAAATTAAATTGTATTGTAATTTTGTTTAGATCTAGATGTCATAGCGTACGTAGATCTAGATCTAAATCAAAGTTGAATGAAATGGTTTCTTTCTTTATATTCTAAACTCGGAAGATGACGTCATTAGTTTCGTGCTCTTTATTTAGTATAAACATTAAGTGACGTCGTTGTTAAATGTGTTCTTGTCCCAACTATAAACATTTTTCCGGTTGCATAATTAAAATTGTTTTTCTAGATCTGAATATGCCTTTATTTTTTATTTTTCTTCTTTAAATAAAATTGCGTTTATACATTTGAAACATCCACCATATTATTTTCAACCAAAGCCCGTATTGAGTTCTCCATATATAGCTGCAGATTCTGATGTGATATCCGACTAAAATATTTTGCGGACAGAGAGAGAGAGAGAGAGAAGTGCGCACATGGTTCTTTATATATTAGGATTATGCAAAACAGAGTTTCTTCCAGGCATCTCTTCGCCCCCCCCCCCCTCCTCCGAAGAAAGTCTACCGCCCCCCCCCCTGAACGAGATGGAATTTATATAGTAAACATACACTTTTACTACTGTCCGCCCCCCCCCCCCCCCGAAAAATGTTGACACCCCCCCCCCCGAAAATATATAGTGCCCCCCTCCCCCGGAGAGAAAAGTCTGGAAGAAACACTGATATAAAAGCTTGTTATTATGCCGTTTTAATGCATTTTTATTAATTTAATTATTTTAGTATTATTTAGTTTCATGACTAAAATCTATTGCGAACTAAATGAACATGATAATCCGCTTATAAATAGTAGTAGGTCACCCTACTAATTACAGAAGATTGTAATTAATTATTTTTTAATTAGGCATCATATTATGTCAAATTTAATGTCTTATTGAATTGTCATCGGGTCTAGACTCGTGCCAACTATGAAACGAATTGGTCAATTACAAGTGCTCGAAATTTCACTCCTCGGTTTCGATCTATGATGAGAGAGAGACATACAAAAGAACGACATACAGACAAAGGTAGAATGTTAAATAGAAGCTAGTAAAAATTCATAAAACCGTTCTAATAACAAGCGTGTGTGAAATAATGCATTAAAAAGAGAAAATTAATTATTTTCTTTATATATAATAACGAAATGCTATTTAAATAACTAAAAAAACATGTAAAAAAATATGCATTGAATACTAATATAGAATTTTATAATCGACCC